AACCACCACTCCTTGCAATCGATATCAGGAATCGAGTTCAGCTTCCTACAATTATCTGTATAAATATTGGTTTCGATTTATCCCCGTATTTACCGAGGCAGCACAAACAGTCGCGTTGACGCGAGGTCCTACTCAAACAAATTGAGGTTCCTCCTTATGTGTCGACTATTTCCTCCACCTTCCTGGATTATTTGTACGGTTTGCTAAAGGTGTGGAAGGAAAATATATTGGTTTAACGATAGCTCTGTATTTTTGCTCAAGTATAACTGAGGGACGACGCAAGATTTTTGGTTTGATGACGCATCTGATGTAGAAAATTCTGTCCAATATGGTAAGGATGGTCCGTTTAGGAATGAAAGAGATTGATAATCTTGGAATATTTTTATTGTAGTCTTGCTTTTGAGTTTTATCCATTGAATTAGTAACTATCCACGTTATTCGTTAATTATAGGAGGCCTTAGTGATTGTTTTCGTAAGTTGAAATAACGTCCAATGGGTAATTAATCAGGGAATCAGGAGGTGGTGGTGGTGGGGATCAGGTGGTAACTAGCAATAGGTATTCTTACATTCATATGAAATGGATAACAACACAACATTTTCAGACGTTTCTAGAAGACCCAAACCGTTACTTCGATAAGAGCATAATCAGACCTAAATAAAGACCTTGGCGTAAATCCTATGGGTATACCGTCTCTTGCAGACTATAGATAACGTGTTATCAGTAAGTATTTGTACATAGTAACACGAGTTCAGTTGAGAGGGTAATGATTCAGTTTCCACTCGTTCGCATACCTACTGTCAAGTTGGAAGCTGTTAGATTTCTGATATACTCGCGGAATGGTTAATAATAACATGTAACTTCAACAATAAAATGCTTGACTATGCTCATGAGTGTAGTAGATACTAGTATTTTAAGCATTTTGAATAAGTTAAAAATCAATAAAGACAAGACTGCACGGTTGACGCGATGGTTAGGCAACTGGCTGCCGTGCCCCAACGTGTTGCGGGTTCGATTCCCGCACGGAACAACTCTTTGTGTGTTCCACAGATTGTTGTTCCGGGTCTGGATGTCATGTGTATGTGAACTTGTATGTTTGTAAACGCACACACAATACAGGAGAAAATCTATGTAGTGTGGGGCAATGTTTAAAAAAAGTACTGAAAGAATTTCACGTCACACTGCTTAAAAACACAAAATCAAGAAGTATGGCAGAAAAGGTAAGAAAGAGCACAGACCGAATTATTAATTACAATGAGATATATGTTCCTTTAAAAACACATGGCTGTAATTATGCCATTAATTGGCGAAGGATACTAATAATACTAACCGTACTAATATTAAAAAGATACGAGATTATATCAAAAATAACGCATTTCATTTACAAAGAATATTTTCCAGTTTAACACACGTGGCTTGAATCACTACATAGTATAAAACAAAGTCGTTATCCGCCTCTGTCTGTCCCTATGTATGCTTAGATCTTTACAACTACGCAATAGATTTCGACAGTTTCTTTTCTAATAGATAGTGTTTTTTAAGGAAGGTTTATATGTATAAAACATGCATATATTGCATATAAAATACATTGATATCCGTCGAAAACATTTTAATTTCCCCTCTCCTTTCCGTTTGTCAGTTTTGGACGTTGCTATATTGAAAATTCACCTTTAAAGTTGACCCGAATATGTCTGTACGTCTGTCTGTAAAGCTGAAAACCGCAGTATTCAGTTCCACGAATCATAAAATGGATGGACAATTAAAATGGAACGAGAACCTGTATCATTTTTTTGCCTATTGTTTGAAAAAAGGATAAAAAATGTTGGAGTTTTTACTGGTACACTGTGTGTAAACAATGATTTTTATGTTTTAGATGATTTCGAAATGTAAGAGTTACTGTGTATTATAAACTTTTTTCAAATGGAAGTGAAATGATTTTTTTAAAACAGGTTTTGAAACTGTTTTCTGCACCTATTAATTTGTCTGACACAGTATTTTCTTTTTCTTTTTATAAAAACGTTGCCCCACACTAGGATTTTCTCCTGTGTCGTGAGTGCGTTTACAAATACACAACTTCACATACATATGACATCCAGACCTGAAACAACAATTTGTGGATCACACAGAGTTGCTCCGTGGGGGAATCGAACACGCTGCATGTTGCGCGGCAGCCGGTTACCCAACCACCGCGCCAACAATGCAGACAATGCATGCATGTATGCAAACCTTTTAGTCAGTAAGAGTGATACTCTTTCGCCTTACCCAGTGCAAGACTTGACTTGACATGACTTCTTCTTTTCAAAAAAGGCAACAGAAACACTAACAAAACCATTTTCACTTTTAGATGTCAGAAAAGGTACCTCCTATCCATATTATCACTTCCTTTACATAACATGCATAACGTCACGCCTTTTATTCCCGAAGGGGTTGGCAGAGGTGCACACAGAAGTAACACCCACTTTTCACTATTTATGTCATGAGTCCCATGTAATAGGGGGTGAGCCTATTGCCATATACCGGGCACAATTCCAGACTCCGTGCTACTATTGTCACTTTTCTTTGCTTTAACAACAAAGTATGTAACTACTTAACATTTTATTACAATATTATAGTACAGTGGCATTGCTAGGTCATTGCCGAGCGGTTATGATCAGACATTAACATATTTCGTCAAACCACAGTGGCATGGAGTGGAGGAAAGAAAGTTGGGTTGAAACTATGTTATTGGTACAAAACTGTGCCATGGGAAACACTTCGGTGAAACTGTCGTGGTTGCTGGCTGCAGCGTTGCACTATCAAATGTTTGAGTTGCATTGTTTTATTGCAGTTTCAAAACAAGAAATAATTCTTTTATACTACTACATTTAAAAACCGACTTCATCCCCTCTTTATTCCTAAGTCGGTTGATTAATATACTTTTGGGAACAGAGAGTAAAGTTCCCTAAGATCGGAAAAGGAGGATCCTCCGACCAGGCGAGGTGATCGAGCCTGGCGGGCTTTCTGCCCAACAGTTGTTCGTTGGGATTTTCTATCCGTGTTAATTTGCATGTAAACTTTGCATGTGCGATGTATTATTTTTGTGACGTCATCCGTTGACATGTGTTGCCACAATACTAAAGTCTTCTCCTAAGTGTAACAAACACTTTCATGAATGACGCTTCAAAATCGGTCCAGTCAATCGCGAGGTAATTGCGCACAAACGTGCATACATGTGTACAGGGCAAACAGAGAACGTCCTTTTTTGAAGTCTATTAAAAACCAAAATCGGAAAAAATGAATGTGCAATTTTGAAGGATGGAGATTCGAAGAAAAATATATTTTTATTTCTTTAGAGGTATGTGTTTATCTTTTGACCCTCTTTTTGGGCTCAAAAACATATAGGACGACTCGAGGAGGTAAACAGGAAATGTTTTTGGTCCTTGAAATCCAGCAATGTAAGGTTAGGAGTCTGTAGTTAATGTACCAAAACGTTTGAAAAACTGGGTTTCCTTATACAATTTTGATTTCAATTCACACAGCTTCGATTTATTTATACCCAAGTATAGTATTAGACAGAGTTCCAAACTAGTGAAAATACTAAGCTAAACCTCAGCTTTATGCCTTTTTTTATACCACGATATTTTTTACAGCGGCATGGCCTACTTGATGGTAAGCGGTTACCGTGGCCTATGAACGCTTGCATCACTTGATCATTACATGTGCTTTGCGAACCCTTAAGTAACCTATTCACTCCCCTCTTGAAGAACACCATGTTGTTAGCCTATTGGGAAAACCTCCTCTTGAGAATTTATTTTAGGAGAATCTACTTTATCTACTCTTCAGAGTACTAGAGATTATACAGTATGTATTTTCTAACTCAGAAACCATTGCACTATTGCATTCTGTATTACCCACCTCCAAAACATGAAACGCAAGTGGCATTATATACAGTCGGTGCTCCAGACACATGGTTGTTTGAAAATGTGCTTTAAACGCAGACACGTGTGAACTTACACCTGTGCCACCTTACACCTAGTGGAACATAGGATACCTAAGTGCAAGAACTATCTTACTGATTACATTCTGTTTTTATTCCTTTGGAAATTAGGGTTTAGAAATGAAGTATCTATAGAAGCTATATTAAAACATACTATAACATAATCTACTATCAGCTTACTCGAGAATAAATAACGCTCTATTCAGGCATGCTCGACTAGTTTCGAGCTTAACCAGAGCCCGTAACACATCGACAAGAGTAAGCTACTTGAACATGATCTAATCCTCAAAATTCTCGAAAGTTCTACCAAGTTAATGATTCTTGAAGATCTTGGAAACATTCTCGATGAGACGGTGTACTAAATATTATAAAATTAATGTTAAGATACAGTGAGAGAGGCTGGTCATGCCACGCTGTTGTGGAGAATTGCAACATATAGTTAGAACACACAAAGTAAGCAAGCTATGTGATCGCAAATTAAAAAGCTGCATAAAAGAAATATTAAAAAAATAACAATGGCAGTCATTTAGTATCGACGAAGTCGTCATGTTCTTCTGGAGTTTGTAGACAACTAGGAGTTAGGTTCTAGGTTATAAAAAAGTACAGTTTACACATTTTTATATGAAGTCTTGTCTGAACAGTCTATCACATATTTGCCACATTCGTTATAGACTATAGACTAATCCAGACCGTCTTTCGGCATCGCTAATATTATAGAAGCGGCAACAGCTTATTACACAACATGAAAAGCCATTTTCCTTGCTTTAAAGTGTGTATTTATAGATTAAAAAAAAAACTTCTGAGAGTTTCTGTCAAATAGAAGATCGATCCCAAGATTTTGGATGGAGATCGGTTCCTATTTGACAAATGTTGACAGATTTTCTGTCTTATTTATATCTTGCTGTAACATAAGCTTGTTACTGTATGTGTAAAGTCTATATGAATGCAAATAAAGTAATAATTGCTACCAATTCATGCAGTATTGGTATAAAGCCGACAACACTATACACGGCTCTACAGACGTACCTCGTGTCCTCGCTTGGAGTTCTCTCCCTGGAAGGGAAAATATCGTGAAAATATTATCAAATACAATCAGGTTTATTAGTTTAGTCGCATATCGTTTTATTGCACTTCCACAATTTAGAATTCAATTATTTTAAGACTTTTTTTTAAACAAATATTAGACAATTCTTTTTTAGTTTGTGATTCATAACGTCATTTTTTTATATATAAATATAAAAAGAATAAAGCATGCACAGATCTAAAATGACGGAGTTCCGTTAGGTACTTCGTTGGTACAAGTTATAATTATAGAACTATATTTTAGGGCATTTACTATGTGGTGCCTAGAGCTTAACTGCACACTACTTGAAGGTTTTTACACATTTTTACATATTTCGGTTTGCGAATACCTGGTTCCGTATATTCGTATAAAAAGAGCCTTTTTTTTTTTAAGGGGGGAAAATCATCGAATGACTGCTCCCGCCTGGGTGAGGCGGAAGGGAGTGTCAGACTCTTACTGACTAAAAACCACCCCGTTCCTTCTCCTGCACGTCGAGCCGAAGCCCCGGTTACCCGTTAGGTTCTCCGCGACTCCGAATCGGCATCGGCCCTATTGGGCCCCATCTGTGGTGGTCTGATGGCTCTTTGAGGCGCGCGCGGAACGCGACGCGCCGTACGCTCGGGTATAAAAAGAGCCTTAGGAGCAAAATTTTTAAGAGAGATTATACATATAGCAAGATAAACAAACTTATATCCCTTTTCTACACCACAGAAATCTCCCTCCAACATACAGAAAACCCACAGGTTAATGAAATTAGATAGTCTATCTGCAATTGATTTGTCCCACGTAAACTGTTCTATATCAAATGGTTTATAGTAACGATCGCATTGCCAGGTAGCGGTAGATATATAGGTCAGAACACTGTTACATAAGTGTTAGTGTACAATTATGATATAACGATTCTACACTTGATACTTATATGGGTATATGAACCATGCTCGTGTAGATAGAAGCTTAGTTGTATCATGATATTGAAGTTTTATTTAAGAATTGTATTTCCTGAAGGAACAAATACATCAAAATGAATTTCCGTTCTTCCGTTCCGTTTTCGGTTAATTTTCGGTCTTGAAATATTCGTGTATTCCCTGGACCTCCCAGGGAAGGTTTAAAAAACTGGGAAAACAAATTTTAGGCAGTATGAAGTTTGTCGGATCAGCTAGTATTTATATATTTAAATAGGTAATCTACAAAAGTGATATAAAGGCAAACGTTATTGAGATCTAGAGGTAAATTGCAATAGAACACACACTATTCAATTGTTACTAGTTCGATTACATAGCATTCATGAGGCGCTATATTAGCCTCCATCCATAGATACAATAATTTTTATGCTTCCATCATTATTATTACTGAAAAGACGACACAAAAGTAATTCTGCAATCTTAATAGAAGTATAAATTAGTAGATAGTATATAAATTATTCTGTTTATGCAATTTATGAATGGATTTTCAGTAAACATTGAACAGTGGAGGCCCAAAATACAAGTTTTTGGTGAAGGTCGTACAAATATTAGCGTATGATATTGAAAGTCGCTAGCTTACAAGATAGCCTAATTACACTAGATAAAGTAGTGCGTTGTGACATTGGGAGATGTTGATATAAAACGAAAAAATGGTTTACTACAGTAATTACGCCATTTTGTTTAAACTGTCAAACACCAAGCGGTCACCGGTGACCGCGACCTATTGTTCTTTAATTGTGTCTATAAAACCGGTATGTACTCGACGAGTTAATAATGGTTAAATGTCGTGATGGCTTGGAGGTTTAACACGCCCGCTCATGCATGAGGGTGCAGGTTCGAAACCTACCAACGGCAAGTACCAATGTGACTTTTTCCGAGTTATATGTACTTTCTAAGATTATTTAGACATCACTGACAAACGGTGAAGGAAAAACATCGTGAGGAAACCTGGACTTATAATTTCTAATTATAAGTTTGAAATCGCCAACCCGCATTGAGCAAGCGTGGTGATTAATGCTCGAACATTCTCCGAGAAGAGGCTTTGCTCAGCAGTGGGCATTTATAGGCTGTTGATGATGACAGTGGCATTAAGTGCCTTAATGTGCTGGGATAAAAGGCGTGATGCTATGTAACAAATATACAGTACAGATGAAGATACAACATTCTTCCATGCTCTCTTTAGAGTATTTCCACGTTCGAAGTGATAAGATACTCACAGCTTATCACACGACTGTTTACCTACAACAACGTATAGTAAGACACACCACTTGTCATTGAAGTGGGTTGCGTAAAGAGATATTGGGTGATTCTAGTGTCAAGTTCCTAGGTACTTCGTATATTGGCTTTGTTAGTTTTGGTGTAGGGTTTGTAGACTGTCTGTTTGTTGAGTGCTATAGATAGTTTTTATATCCTGAATATAGTATTCATAAAATCTACTTTGATGGGAAATCTTTCATATGTTGCCTTAATCAATGAAGAAATGCATAAATAATTACTATTTATCTTCTCTACTCTTTATTCCGATTTCTACCAAATAGAAAACCCACGTACCAAAGAGACTGCCTCTTTGGCCGAGTAGTCGTAAGTGTGAATGCTAGTAACACAATTGTGCCCGGTATATGGCAATAGGCTCACCCCTTATTACATGGGACTCAAAACATAAATAGGGAAAAGTGGGTGTTAGAATGTACACTGTACAGTAAGTGCCACAATGTGCACCTCTGTCTACCACTTCGGGGATAAAAGGCGTGATATTATGTTATGTTAGAAAGCCCACATAATATAATACCACTGAATCTAATATTAGCCCAACAAGACCAATTTTTTATTAACACCACGATAACTCCTGTAATAAATGAAGACGTTATCCAAAGCCTCAAGTAACAATAAGCTTCTTAATTGGAGATATTCCCAGATATAAAGTACAATTGGTCGTAAATCTAATATAAGCATAGTGCACGTCTCTCTACACGATTAACGCGAGAATTAACAAGTCAATCGGTCTGCGTGTACGCATGTCTAGCGAGACGCTGGGGTTGGCAACATTTTGTTTTGTGTAACTGGTTTAAATTCCTATAACCGATACGAAAACTGTTCGTTTTTTATTTCTATAATGAGAATTTAGAGATGAAATAGATAGATCTTCATTAACCATTACTTTTTTCCCCTAACCCCAATTAATTTATAATAATTAATTGGAGTTAGGGGAATTGGGGTTTTCGTTTTACTCACGTAATAATTTGACGAGGAAATCGACTAGTTTCAAGCCATACTAGAGGCTCATATTCATGAGCAGCATTCCACGACCCGCGACGCGGCGACTGTCCTTAAGCCTAAATCTCCTAAGATGGCGTCGGTACGGACTTTAAAGGCATTCAAAATTATGTTTATCAAATATAACAAAATCATAAGTCTACTACAAGTTCTTATGTAAAATTCGTAAATAATAATTACCACTTCATTAAATCTTTTGATAACATGATTTAAAAACATTAACGTTACCAACCCCTGCAAAACTATATACGCGTAATAAATCGTAGCATATGAACCAATCATTAGTTTTTTAGCGAGACGCCTCACTTATGTATTGGCATTCATTAACATGATTATAGCCACGGGTTTGTCTCTAAAATGTATAGCAGCACTTTCTGATTACTGTTCATAAGAGGAAATGACATCCTGCGATATTTTTACGTTTAATTAGGTGACAAAATTATATTATAGTCATTTTGCTATATACGTTCTTTTTCTTTGAGTAACGCGTCTCTTGTATCCTATTTATGTTCTTCTTGTTTAATATTACCTACTTAATGTTAAATTGCTCACGGTGCACGTACTTATTAATCTAAATTTGAGTTAATAACAATAACGCTTTTATTTTGAACTTATTCGCAATTGGATTTAGGTCTAATTTTGCGTCTAATCCGAATAAAGCTAACGGTCTACATAATAAAACCTAAAATTGTTATTTCACGGACATTCACCGTGAAAGAACAATTAATCCTTTGGATAAAATGCTGCAAAAATGTCTAAAAACGTTGGAATATTATTTACGTTTACAAAAAAAGGTTAATTTACTCAAAATATGAGTTGTTTTAAGCATATTTTTGTTTCATTTGCGTGTTCTGTGGCGTGTGTTACTTTTAATTGTTTGAAGGGTCGGGTCCTCGCCCCTTCAGAACTTCACGGTTCGAAGATTTGCAAAAAGCACGTCACCTCAGAACTGTCCCACTATTAACACGTTTTAGTTCATTGTTTTGTAAGTTAAAGAAATTATGCTTTATTTAACAATTTTTTTGCCTCTTTGGCCGAGTGGTCGCAAGTGCGTCTGCCGAGCAAGGGGTCTCGGGTTGGATTCCAGGATCGGGCAAAATTATGATTGGGTTTTAAAAACATCTCAGTATTAGCACGGTGTCTGGAATTGTGCGCGGTATATGGCAATAGGCTCACCCCCTATTACATGGGACTCATAACATAAATAGTGAACAGTGAGCGTTACATTGTACAGTGGCATGAAGTGCCGTAATGTGCACGTCTGCCTACCCCTTTGAGGATAAAAGGCGTGATGTTATTTTATGTTGAAAAGAACCCAAATACAGCCTTGGCCAAAAGTATTAGGCACCCCAATAAAGTTCCCGTGCAGTCGTGCTATTTAAACAATGAGTAAATATTCTTTTGAAAGATGATCTCGGGGTCATAAACCACTATTTAAGATATTGGGCGGTAATATTTAAGTGGTTGTATAACATATGGTGCATCAATAATGAAATATTCTTTTTTTACAAAACTTACTTTTAATGTTTGATCAGTCTGCATTTGGAAGTCTTCGCATAAAGACAGCACGTTTGTAGTTTTTTGATTAAATAGAGAACAAATTTATTTAGAAATGCTAATTAGCAACGAAATTTGTCTTAAAATCGTGTGTAAGTCAAACTTTTACATTAGCAAGGAGAGACCCAGAAAGAAATTGCAAAGTTGGTAAAATATTCGCGATGCGCAGTTCAAACTTCTATTAAACATTTTGCTGG